CTTCATTAATCCGTCTTAATTCTAGTTCCTTCCCTCTGTTGCTTATTTCCAATTTATAGCTTGTTGGTACATATTTGTTGCACGTTGTCTCTCCGATTAGATTAGATTGTGAATGCCTCGAAGGCAGGGATTGTCCTTTTTGGTTTGGTTTTGTTTTGTATACACAGAGTTTACCATGGTGCCTAGCACATAGTAGGAACTTAATAAATGTTTACTGACTATTGCCTATAGTATCTGCATCACAGAGACAATGTATGTAAAGTGATTTGCAAACCTGAATGTCCTATATAAACATGTGCACTTATAACAGAACCACTCGGATAGCTTGGGATGAGAAGGCTTTGAAGAGAAAAAAAGAAGGATTTCAGCCAAGTATTGAATGATGAGTAGGAAGATTTGGACTGGTGTAAAGAAGGGGAAAGAGCATTATTAAAAGAGAAAATGCTAATTTACTATAGCCTAATACACTCTCTCACATACACTTTTCCTGGGGCATTGCCAAAACTCAGTATGCCTTCAGATTATTTTTGAGACTCCCACGGCTGTTATCTAATTGAAATGGTTATTATAACCTCTAGTATCTGATTAAATGACTGTAATCCAATACCTTCTTTTCTCTGAGGGGCATATACTATCACAGAATTGTTGAGCTAAAAGAGAATTTAGATATCTTTTAAAATACCCCCCTCACTTTAAAGATAAGGAAAATCATGCAGAGAATTTAACTGACGCCAGGAGAAAGAGAACTGAATAAGGTCTCTGAATTAGGGAGATCTTGATTCTAGCCAAGTCTCTCTGCAACTAACTTGTTATGTAGCCTTAATCTCTTTGGACCTCAGTTTCCTTTTTTGCAAAATAAGGCAGGTGGACTAGGTGAGCTCTAGCTTTCACGTTCTGTGGTTCTCCGAGCAGCAAGTACCCTTGGATCTTGTTTTCCTGACCCAGCCTTGTTATATTGCCCCCTCAGCATTCTAGGGTACCCCGAAAGGTTTGGGAACAGTCTCTTCCCTCTGCCATTGGCTCAAACCTCTGATGGCTATGCTCCCCTCATTTTATAAGCCTGTGTTAGTACCCCAATTCCATTTCACTGCTTAATATCAGGAAGCTTTCACAAAGGGATATTTCCTTCAAAGATATAGAAAGAAGAATACACAAGCATTTCCCTCAGTACTTTTAGGGCACACTCTCCCTGACACCACCGTGGTGTCTGGGCTAGTAGAATCAAAATTTAGTTTAGTTCATTGGTCCCATCAAATCCAAGTCCAGAAATGGCATGACTGCCATCTGAGTATTTCCACTGAGGACTCAAAGGTCACTTCCAAATATTGTTCCTTCCTCCTAGGAGGATTGAAATTGCTCTAAAAACAAAAACAAAAAAAAATTTTTAAAAAAGGCATAACACCCAGTCAAGATTATGACTCCCAGATTCCTGTAGTTCACTTTCCTGACCATGAGCTGACTTCTCTCCTTGCACCTAGAACAGAAAAGAATGAACAAAATGGTCCAGGACAGAAGCCCATTTCTTGGATCACATGCCCTTGGAGAGGAATAAGGCTCTGAGGTTTTCCCCCTCACAGCAGTCATGGTGTGAGAGACAGTCACCAAAATCTTCCAGAAAGGAATGAAGCAAAGAAGAGGCCTTCTTGAAGATGCCAATAGTTCTGGTTACACAGCCAATCCCCAAAGGTCCTTCCTAAACATGTGATCCCCCCCCCCCGGGAACCAATTACAAAAGGTCCAGGCAGGCTCCATGATCTCTCCACAGCCCTTCCCTCATACCTCATCACCTCTCTCCTAGAAGCAGCTCCCCCGCATCATTCTCCATGGGGGAAGGTTGCATTAGCCAAATAAGCTGATGGGGTCTGCACGTATGCCAAAACCCTCACAAAAGAAAAAGGCATCATTTGGGGTCCTTATCAGAATTTTTCTTAGGTGAGGATTGAGACATCCACTTTGAATAAAAGAAGACAGAACTTTGAGAAAAGAAAACAGACAACTCCAGATATTACTAGGTGAAAGAAACGATTAGAAGAGGGAATTAACTGTAATGTTTCTAAGAATCAAGGACAGAAGAGACATGAGAAGTTACAGAGCCAGGCTAGGGGCAATCCTCAGTAGTACTGGGAATGAAACAAAAACATTTCCTATGTCTTTTTACCCATTATTTCCTCCCAATATTTCAGGCACTAGATATCCTTCTCTCTAACCTGCTTTCAAGAAAGGATCTTCTCTCAGAAATCACTTATCGGTGAATATCTCACTGCCATCCCTCCCAGAGGTATCTCATTTCAAATTGCTTTATTGTGTTAGAAAAGGATGTGTGCCCTGTTCAGCAAATAGGTGGGAGATTTATTGTGTTAGGACAGTATCTTCCCTCAACTTCCTTTTTCTCCCTTCTCTTCTCTCCTTCCCCCTTTCTTTCCCTCAGTCTTTCAACCCACCAAGACAAAGTCTCAGATCTGAGACTTCATGAGTTATCATCTGCCTGTAGTTCTAGAGGACTATTTGATTGACAACATTTCTTAGGAATTTAGTCTGCATGTGAGTCATACAGTCAGTCAACAAGCATTTACTAAGCACTTATCCTTTGCCAGGCACTGTGCTAAATGCTAAGAGATACAGGGAAAGGCAAAAATAGTCCTTGTGAACATAAAAAGAATAACATCTTCCCAGTAACAAACAGAGATACACCTAGCACGAGGCAAATAATACTCTTTGCCAAAGGGCATTGACATTGGAGGAGGCACATTCATGGCCTCCCTAAGGGGCGTCAGAGACCTAAGGCCTCTTCATTCAGGGTCTTTGGTTTGTCCTGCATGGGTCTCCCTCTGTCCCTCCCCTCCCTGAGTTATCCCTCTCCCCCTCCTGTAGACTCTGTGACCAGACTCTCTGTGGGATGCATTGCTATTGCTCCCACCTTTCACACTGTCCTCCATGTCCTTTGGCCTCCAACTCTTTTTGCACCATGTGAAGAATGCCAAATTACAGCTTTTTTTTTTTAACAAACATAATCAGGGACACCGACTTTAGCAAAGTCCAGGGAAAAGAACTTAAATGGAAACTAAATATACTCTAATGAAGTGTCAGGCAGGGCAAGCAATTCCTTGTTCAATGACATTTTTTCTCCCTACTTTCTGAATTTTTGTTTCATTTGTTTATGAGCTGCCTGAAATGTCACCACTTTGACCTTCATTGAGATTAACAAGAATTTTCTTTTAAAAATTCAAATACCTCTGAGAAGGATATGAGGGGTGTGTGTGTGTGTGTGTGTATGTGCACGCATGAGTGCTTGCACATGCACACATATGCACACATGCCATGTGTATTTGTCAGGATGGGGAGGACACGAAAGAGGAGGCAATAATTTTTGGAACAGGTAGAGCACATTCCTGGCAGATCAGGCCTGAGTGGGCTACTGATCACAAATACCTCCTTTTCATAGTTCTGCTAGACTTTAGATCAGTCTCTAAGTGAGAAAAGTCCTAAGGACTGTTCAGGTGAATCCAGGCTAACCTGGTTTATTACTTCGCACAAAGTTGGTGCTTAGTAAATATTTGCAAATGAGTGAATGAATTCTGAGCATATTCCTCCTCTTATATTACTTGACCCTGGGGACTGAAAATGTTAGTCTTGTTAATACAGATAAAATATGCCTAATGTAGATAAAATATTCAGTTAGGTGGCACAGTGGATGAAACACCTGGCCTGAAGTCAGAACACTCATCTTCCTGAGTTCAAATCTGGCCTCAGACACGTACTAGATGTGTGACCCTAGGCAAGTCACTTAACTTAAATGGAGTTCAGTTATGACATATTATTGTGAACATGAGAAGATGTTGAATGGGGCGGTGCTACATGGAGGTATACCTTTATTGCAGATCAGCTATATTGTAACTTACATGGAAGAGACCTTAGAAGTTTTTTTTAACCCCTAAGGTGTAGTAACTTGTCCCAGACCATGCAAGTAGTAAGTAGAAGAACTAGGATCTGAACCAAGGCTCTTTGACTCTATATCAATTCAGCTCGCTTTCAACAGTTCCATATTATATTTTAGTTTAAAAGTAACTAAATGGCTTCTAGCACTTTTTGTAGGGTAGTTACTGGTGATAAAATCAAACATCAATTTTTGTAGTACCAGGAGAGTTGGGAATTGCTGAACTAGAAAGCCCGATCATCCATCCATTCAACAAAAATATAATAGACATCTACCCTATGTGCGAGGCACCATGGAGGACATGAGAAGAAGTGTGCTGGGTGGATCCTTCATGGAGGATCTATCGAAAAACACAAACAAGAACGGCATAGGATAAGGTGACATAGATTTACATGCCATACATGGTTTATGTACAAGGCTTACAATCCGTGTTGGGAGTGGAGATAGTATTACTGAACTACCAAAAACCCTAATACTCTGGGGACTACAGAAAAATAACAGTCTCTGCCGTCATGGAGCTTACAATAAATTTCATTTTTATGGGGTCATTACCACCATGTAGATGACTCTATATGGACAACTGGGTGGCACAGTGGAAAGAGTGCTGGGCCTGGAGTCAAGAACTCTTCCTGAGTTCAAATCTGGCTGCAGATATTTACTAACTGTGTGACCTTAGGCAGGTCACTTAACCCTGTTTAGCTCAGTTTCCTCATCTGTAAAATAAGCTAGAGAAGGAATAGTCACTCCACATCTTTGCCAAGAAAACCCAAAATGGGGTCAGGAAGAGTCAGATACAACTGAAAAACAACAAAGATAACACAATAAAAGATGATATGGAAAGCATGTTTTTCAGGAGAGGGTCTCTGTCTTTTGAATGTCTACAATACAAAACCAACAAGAGTCACATGCTACATGTCAGTCTGTTTTCAAATGTACCCAAGAAATACAAGAAAAACATTGCTGTGGAGAAGCTTACTCACACCTTATTATGGTTAGTAGAATTTTCATAATCAGGTTTATACCCCACATATAAACCAAAAAGAAAAATTGTACAACGTATAGTTACCTTGTAGTAGATTCTGGCCGCCAATCCCCGTTGAAGAACTCTTTCTCGAAAACTCACTGCTTTCAATAGGAAGGTCATATTACCAATAGCATCCATATTAAATGCCAAAAAACTAAAGGAAAAATACAATAATCAAATGTTATTCATTGTGTTGAATAAATTTTGTGAATAATAGAAGGATTTATGATTTCATCACTGTGGGGGAAAGTTGAAGTGTGAGGCCTTTCTCCAGCACATATTAGAATCCATCTCGAACCCAGTAGGTAAGATCTAGGGAATTGTTTGAGACACATAGAGCCTAACTTATTTACCCAGGATGACACAAAGCTACTAAGTGTCAGGTGGGGGATATGAATACAGGTCTTCCTATAAGCTCAGCACTCTATCCATTATGTTACATGCTTCTATAAATGAACTTCATTAGAAAAAAAAACAGTTTTAAATTGAAGCAAGATTATCATAGGTCAGATGTACCAGAAAGGATTTATCAATTGTAAAGTTAGACACTAAAACACATGCACTGGATTTTCTAGGACATTCAATGTCTTTAGTGGAGGTAAGTTCACAGTCCTTCTTGGTGATAAAGGAAATGGATTTGATGTTCTCTTCAGATCCCATGCTGTCTAGTTAAACTAGTTCACTGTTTTGCCTCCTGACAATACAGTAGGCATGCTACCTGAGTGACTACCTAGATCTAGGGACCTGTAGATTGGGACTTTACAATCTCATTATATTCAAGAGTACACTACAGTTTCTCACACTCAGAGACTTTCTCCTGCTGGAAGAACCAGTGTTAGAATATTAGAACTACAAGAATATAGATGATAGCTACTCCAACCCACCTTGTTTTACAAGAGAAGCACAAGCCCAGAAAGGTAAATTGACTTGCCCAAGGTCACATGGTGAATTAGAGGCATAGTCTGAGTTAGAATCTAGGCTTCTTGCATGCACCCTGGCTTCAATATGGATAGAGACAAGTTTCAGTTCAAACTTGGAGAGACGGCTCGCAGACAGCACTTATGTCTATACTCAGAGGTGTGACTTCTTACAGAAATGTCAATTGTTAGAAATTACTAAGGCAGATGTAGGGCTACTATATACTTGGGAATTTCTATGACTCTTGGCTTGGAAGTAGCCCATGGCTACAGAATGGTCAGAATGGCTCTCTGTGAGGTTCAGGATAGGGAAAGCAGTGTTAGAATTGCAGATATCTTCAGGAGAAAAGATATTTGCAGGAATGGTGGTAGGGGTTGAAGCTGGGGTAAAATGAATTTGTAGGGGAATACATATATATTAGAGCATCAGTTCTACTACTAGCCTTTGAAGGGTCAGGGTGGGCCTATGTTCTGCATCTTGCAACCCTGTCATGAGTTTGAATGATTTTTTTCAGTGTGTTTACTTTTTTCTGCTATTGAACTGACCAACTTTTGTCATTATGTAGACATACTAAGTATTATCACAGTTGGCTATATTTATCAGCGGAGCAGGTGGCTACCGTTTGAGCATCAATTTAGAGGCACCAGGAAAACCTTTCTTATTCTGCTCAAACACATGCACCCTTGTCTTTTATTCACTGGTGCCTGAAATCTCTGTAAGGGGGGAGGTAAATGGCTTCATTCCAAAAGGAGAGATAAAGCTTAAAAGGTGAATGATCCTAGAAGAGATTTAACCTTGCTTTAAAGTCACATAAAACTAAACATAGCTGATATTCTAACTTTTCTTGAGAGTAAGCTTTGGTAGAAGAAAACAGTATGTGGGTGCCTAAAAGTGGGTAGGAACATTATAGAAGGGGAAAAGAGGGAGGCCAGGGACACCAAAGATAATTTCTACCAACTTCCAATTTTGCCCAGAGCTATCTCTGAGTAGAAAATTAGATACTCAAGGCAAATGGGGAAACATATGAATGCAGATAATTCAATTAAATTCAACAAATACTGAAACAGCTACTACATTTAAGTCACTGGCACTAGGAAAAGGAAGCAGAATATAACTGATGAAGACTACATAGTGCCTTTCCTTAAAAAGCTTAATTTTTAGTAATAATAATAACAATATTTTTATAACACTTTAGATTTGTGTCACCCCACAACCTCCCTGTGAAATAGGTAGAAAAAATACAGGTCCTTGAGGGCAGGAACTGTCTTTCTGTTTTGACTTCGAATCCCAAGAGGCTAGTTTGACCAACAATAGGTCCCAGCCCAAGCCTTACATGGTCATGGTCTGGATTCTGATGGCTCAGAGTAAGTATAAATAGCAATTGTTTCTGTTTTGGCCAGAAACCCTGGGGGTTTTCCCCTCACAGACTAATTTAATTTTTTTTGACCAGGTGAAAAAGGCCATTCTTTGCCTCATTTTTACTTAGCCTGAATCACTGAATGGGTCTCAGGCAAACTGAGACCTGGAAAAGACCTTAGCTCAAAAAGGCCAAGGCCTCCCACTGTATCCCAGGCCGTCTCCAGTTGTCCTGATCTACATATTGCCACTGGACCCAGATGGCTCAGGAGGAGAGAGTAAGGCTGGTGACTTTGCATAGCCCTTCCTCACTTATATCATTTACAAGTCACGACATCATCTTCCTGATGTCATGGTCCTCTTTGAGAACAAAAAACAAACAATAACAATGCCTTGAACATAATATGTATGTAATAAATACAAATTTAATAGAATTCAATTATCCCCATTTTTCTTTTTTTCTTTTTTTAGGCAATTGGAGTTAAGTGACTTGCCCAGAGTCACACAGCTAGTAAGTGTCAACTGTTTGGTCTGAGGCCAGATTTGAACTCAGGTCCTCCTGACTTCAAAGCCTGTGCTCTATCCACTGTGCCACCTAGCCACCCCTTCCCATTTTTCAAATGAGGAAAATGAGACTCAGAGAGTTTAAATGACTTGCCTATGGTCACATAGTTAATAAGTGTCTGAGGTGAGATTTGGACAAAAGTTTCTTGACTTCAGGTCTAACATTATGCTGGAAAGTGTCATGTTCACAAATGATAATAACACAAAGGTAGAGAGTATCCAGGTGCATGAGTCATATAAGCAATGAGTTCTGAGGAAAGAAGAATTCCGTTATAGAATTGGTGGCAATGGATGTTGAAACTTGCTACCTCTCTATGGGCATCTTTCTGTTAGTCCCTTGTGTATGACTTCCTGGCCAGATTTAAATTCCAGATGCTCTGCCCATCCCCAACAATAACCGTACTGAAAAATGGCTTTTAGCCAGAGGACATATGGCATGAAATAAAAACAAAAACAAGGATAGGTGAAATTTCTTGGCTTGTAACTAATGATAATAATAATAATTATAGCTAACATTTATATACCGCTTACTATGTGCCAAGCACTGTGCTAAGTGCTTCACAATTATTATCTCATTTGATCCTCACACAACCCTGGGAGGCAGGTACCACTATTATCTCCATTTTACAAGGTGAAGAAACTGAGGCAAACAGACTTGTCCAGGGGTCACATAGCTAGTAAGTGTCTGAAGCTAGATTTGAATAAACATCTTCCTGACTCCAGGCCTGGCACTTTATTTATGTACCCCCTACAGAAATACTGAAATATTAAAATCCTCATACAGGAGATATACTTAAAATATAAAGCAACAAGAGGTCAGCCAATGAGGACCCAGTCCTAGGAGCATGTGCAAACATGGGTGCTTGGGGAGTCTTCTTCAAGAATGTTCAAAGGAAGGACCCTGCTCTGCTATGTAGCATCCTTGGCTCAGAGATCTCTCAGCCAATTAAAAGTCATGTCTCCCTCCTTGGCCTCAGGAAAACCTCTCCAGGCTTGAGAAGTCAGCTTAATAAACAATACACTATTAGAATATATAAAAGGAAGAGTGGGTCTTAAAAACACTAGCCAAGCCAGGGATAGACTAGAACCAAAATATTTACAACTACAATATTGTTGTTAGTATGTCAAATCTATTTTGGAAAACCATTTTAGCCAGTAAGCAGGCTGTTACTTCAACCCCACCCCCAAGTATCTGTGTACCTTGAAAGAATATATACACAACTTCTCCTACCCATTCCTCCAATTTAGATGAGCCTGGTGATAATGGGAAAAAAAAGAAGGGCCCAGTATGAACTGAAACTTGTCTCTATCCATATTGAAGCCAAGGTGCAAGAAACCTGAGTTCTAACCCGGACTATACCTCTAATTCACCATGTGACCTTGGGCAAGTCAATTTCACCTTGAGTGCCCTCAAGAGGAGGAACAAACAGTAGAAAAGACAAAGAGTAAGGAAATTGACTGCTTCATCCTGCTGTGGGAGTAAAGAAGAATGAGCTGGTTTGGAAGGCAGGGGGTTCCTTCTTCCTAGAGGGCTTGAAGCAAAGGGTGGCTGACCATTTTGCTGAGTCTGATTTAGATGTACTTCTTTGGAGAGGTATGGGCGGCAGGAAATGGCTTCTGAAGTCCCTTCCAGCTCTGTGATTGAGTGATTCTGTGATTAAAGGACACTCCAGGAACCTAACAACCTCATCGAAGGAACTGTCTGACTGTGCTACAGAGCATGAAGATAGAAAGAAGAAAATACTCCTTCCATAGCCATTCCTCCCACTTTAAAAACCAAGGAACCCACGAGATCTGGTAAGACTCATACAGGGGCAGAACCTCCACCCCAGCAGGAACATCCACACCTGGGGATTTGCATGCTTCTTCACACTCAGTCAAGGATTTCTATGTTGAGGTAGCTAGGTTAGTCAGTTAACTAGCATTCATTAAAGTGCCTACTATATGCTAGGCACTGTGTGAAGTGCTAGGGCTACAAAGAAGGGTAAAAGACAGCTCCTGCTCTCAAAGACCTCACAGCCTACTGGGGGAGAGACAACATGCAAACTAGGTGGTTCAAGTGGATAGATCATGGAGTCAGGAAGATCCAAGTTCAGAGATACTTACTAGCTGTGTGACCCCTGAACTTAACCTCTGCTTCAATCTCCTAATCTGTAAAATGGAGATCATACTAGCACCTACCTTCCAGAGTTAAAATGAGATCATGTTTGTAAAATCGTTTACAAACATTAAAGCACTATATAAATCCTTGCCATTGTTATAATGTTAATGTTATTACTTTCTATCTGTTAAACAAAACTTAATGTTGTATTATTT